CGATCCCAATACGAAGTTCGCGAACATCAGGGATATCCATCGGGCTCAAATCGAAGCGGGTGAAAAGGAGGTTATCACGGCTGAATCCAGCGACTCTGAATGCCCTAGTGAGGCTGGCAGCTGTATTGTAGTGGGTGTGGTTGAGGATCAATAGTTAATAGTAATGAGGAGGTTGGGTTGTGATCCCATCGTTTTTGTGGTGCCAGAAACAGGGGGGTGCCAGGAAGTGGGTATGTTGACTTATAGCCCGCAATGGTCTTCCAACATATGCAAAGAACAAGAAATAAAGCCCGATACAAGGTATAAACACGATGATGATGAGACAGGATACCTTCCACATAATCCATTCCTGTCGCGAGGCAAGGTCATAGTTCCATGCCGAAAGATGGATACCTCCGTAGATTATAGAGAAAGCACCGATTCTTAGCAAATTGTACCCAGTGATCTCCTCACCGATAGCGGAGAGAAGGAAGCGAAAAACCTCTGTGGTTGACCCCAGTCCTTCATCGGGGTCACCCTCTGCGGGATGGCTGAAACTATCTTGGAATGTCGGAAGAGTCTCGCGCATGTTGCCCCTTAACACAAAACATTGACTGTAAGTCTTGTCCCAGAATGGGTCAACATCAGGAGCTGCCAAGGAATTCTGTCGTTTCGATTCCAGGTGTAAGGGGCTATTTCAGTCCTCGTTATTTCTGAAGCATTGAGAAGAATGCTTCTCTCCTCTGCGAGTCAACTCTTTTCACGCCCGAAGACAAAACCTGCTTGGAGGTAGCCTACTCCACAGGGCAGAGCCTGGCCTTCACTAACGCGAACGCCATCCGTTGTCGGAGTGATCCATTGAACAGGTAGCTGTTCATCATGGTGGTTGGTGGCGATGTTACATCGACTACTTCGAGGGTCTTGTTTCCCAAAGCTCCTCTTAGCCACTATGCTCGGAACTATGGCCCGGTCATCTCGTCGGTCAGGATAGAAATTGCGGTCTCGTTTTGCAAGTGGCAGAACTGGCACTGAATCATGAAAGAAAAGGCATTCTTGACCTTCTCGCTTTCCACTGTGATAGATTGCGTCTACTCGATACCTAAGGGCTTCTATTAGCTCCAGATTAGTAATCTACATGACTTTGTAAATCTCTTTGAGATCCGAAAGCAAGGCGGCAATAAGCACTTACGTAAAACCAGAATCCATAGAGTAACAGAGCGAAAATCACGTGTACCATAACATGAATTCCGAGCAACGCTATCGGCAACCTAAGTCTCTTCTTTACAATGCACTGTATCGCCATCCATATTACTTAGGTTGACACTAGGAACTTCTGTAAAAGGGTGGCTTTACTTCGATCTTCCAGACTAGCTATATCAACTTCGATGAAGTCACCAAGTTTTGCCAGTTCAAGGATGCCTCTTGCTGATAGCGTCAAATTCTGTGGCCAATCATAGTCATTGTCTCGTACAACTCCAGTTCCTGGCTCTATGTCGGCAATTAGAGCTTCGAAGCCTTCCATTACCGCGAAGAAGCAGGCCTTCAGGTCGTATGGCTTCTGAGAACAGGCGCCAAACTATTTATTAGCTTGAATCTCTTATCTTCTTCCGGGTTCGGTTGAGGATTGCGGTGCTCACTTTGGGAGTGCTGCTGTTGTTACAGACATTCTCTGACAGCAAGAGGTTGAGTTTCCGTTTAAGCAAGAATTCTTCGATGAATTGCCTGGAGGCAAGCAAGAGGATGAATTCTGGTGCGAATAAGGTTATAGCAACCCATTGCAGTTTGTTCCATGTCGAAGAGTGCTTGATATTCAAATGAAGCACCGTAAGAACGCAAATGGTCAGGGTGATAAAACAACCCCACAGAATGTCGGTGGTCCCTCGAACAGATGAGCCAGGCACGAGCGTGTATGGTGTTCAACGCTTTTTGGTCATTCTCATTCGCCTCGATTTGGCTCTGGATTTTGGCACTGGTCTGCGTCTGTAAGCACCGCGCGAAGCCAATAACGACCAGAAGTGCAACCAAGTGAGACCTCAAAGCAGCCATGGCAAGAGAAAAGTGGAGAATCAATGATGCCCGGAAATTTGTTGATGCTCGCTTTTCGACTAGGTTGCAGCCTTTTTAAATCCATTCTCGTCTTCCTGTCGCAGCCTGATCACCCTGGCTACGTTGCAAGTGTGAGCGGATGATGCATGCTGCGGCATGTCTCCTTCACTGCAAGGCTCTGAGTGGAGGTTTCTGAGTGGAGGTTTCTGAGTGGAGGTTTCTTTTCATTACCGTACAGCCAACCTAATTGCTTATCTTACCGAGCTGCCTTTCATGTTGATCGGAATTGAGTCGGCGGCTGATCACTGCTGACAACTTGCAGGAGCCAGGAATCCAATCGGCCAGTTGTTGTTTCCGAATCAAGCCACCGTGCTCAGGGAGGTGGGGGCCCGAACCTCGAGTTGTCATTGGCGCGTCTTGGATGCGTTGTTATAACTGCCATAAATATACATAATTGTCGTTTGTGCATTCGAAAACCTTTGAACAATTGCTGTGCCTATAATGTTACCTTCTGTGCAAGAGAAACCAAAGTCGACTTACATGAAAATATTCGCCGAGTCATGTTGCGATATTAAGCAGATAATGCGACGATAGGATGGCCATGTTCGAACGAGATCAACTTGAAGATTGAACTAGTGAAAATATATTACAGATGTTTGAAAAAGCCAACTTCGAAAAACCGTGTGTACATTTTTCTACCTTAGTAGAATGCCCATGTAATAGACTTGGCACTAGCCTCAACTTGGTTGTCTCGTTCACTCTTTGAAGCTGGCGTCTAGGGATTTTCTCGGTGATAGGGACATTGCGCATGGTTGCTCCACATTCCTCTTCAAGACGTTGAACGTCACTCCATTAGAATCCGTCTCCCACTGGCGGTACGTCTTTAAGCTTGCGTGTACAGAGCAAAGCAGAGACCGGGGAAACCTGCCCATAATTGACCACCAGGCGAGGTCGTCTCTAAGCTCTACATCATTCAATTAAGAATACCTCACAAGCTGTTGCATGCATTTCGAGCTGAGTGGACGGAAAGCTTCCGGTTAAGCCTTGGGTTAAGGAAGGATTTTCTTGTTTCCCCCCATGGATCCTTGGCGAACTTACCCCTCTGTGCTCACTGCTCAACCCACACCGGGAAATCTTTCGCGTCCAAGATTGTGGCCCCGGCCGTTGAAACTTTACTGCCCAGCACAGAGATGGATCCTTCGAACTCGATCTGCTGAGTACTGTAGTGAGACCACCAACTTTTGCTATTTGATCTTACTCCAACATCGCTCAGCCGTTCTGAATTGACCAAGATGCGAATGTAGGAACATAGGACATGTAGCATCTTAACCAATCAAGACTCTTTTGCGGTTCCCTGCAGCCTCCGTAACAAAGTTTTGGTACGCGAAGTCATCAGCTATCAAATCTTCATGGTCAATGCACTATGGGTCCAGAAGTTTCCCGCGGAAGTACCGGCAGGCATGGGGGAAACATTCAATAGGGGAATGATTGACGCATTGGCGAAAGGCCCAATGACGAGCCGGGTAAACAAATAGGCTTCGGCAATAATTAGCAGTGCAATTAGCTTGACTCATACGAAAATTAACAGCATATAAAGCGTCAGCGACGCCGGTAGCGGGGTTGAAGGGGAAAATAGGGCTTGATGCGTCTACCAGATCCCGAATTGTTCCCATTCGTGATCTATCGTACTCCTCAAGATGCGTCGTCACCTTACGATCTGGCCATTGGCCCTTTGCGGCTTGGCGACTGTCGCAAGTTGCGAAGACCGACGATACTCGACCTGGATGCTGGACAGCATCAAGGCGCGCAAGCAGGGCATCATCTCGTCTGGTGAATCAAGCAGTTTCCTGGAAACGGGCATTCTATCCATCGCCATGGAGGCTGCACTGAAGCAATACCCGGAGCTTAAGGACCAATATGTCCCTTACTTGGAGGAAGTTCTAAACGAGGGCACTCCCAATTTGGTCAACGCAACTTACGTCGCAACCCGACCTCTGGACCGCTTCTCGGTTGCAAACGCCATCAACGCTATTTCCAAGTCGGGAATCGCGACGATTTCGGACACAGCATCAGCAGCATCGAAAGCCATCAAGGAATCTCTGTCGCTTCAAATCCGCAATCCTGTTGGAGGCTTCTGGTACTACGTCTACCCTCAATGGAGTTACCTGGATGGCATGTTCTCTGTACTTCCATTCATGGCTGCGCAACCCCAGCCTAACTACACCGACATCAGCTTGCAGGTTTCGCTGCTCTACGAGCACTGCTTCCAGAAGAACACCTCCTTGGTCGCCCACGGGTACGATTACTCAAAGACTTCCGTCTGGGCAAACAAAGAGACGGGCGCGAGCCCGTATGTATGGGGCCGCGCCGTAGGCTGGTTCGTAGCAGGTTTGGTTCAGACGTGGGAAGCTCTCGATTGTCCCGCTGGCAAGCACGAGGCCAAGGCTGTGTGCAAGCAACTGCAACACATGACGACGCAATTGGCTACGTCTCTCATCCGCTACGCCGACCCCGAGACCGGCGTCTGGTGGCAATTAACAACGTTCCCGGGACGCAGCGGCAACTATCTGGAGAGCTCTAGCACGGCCTTATTTATGTTCTCTATGCTCAAGGGCGAGAGGCTTGGACTTCTGTCGAACTCGAAGGTAGACTTCAAGAAGGCAGCTTTGAAAGCTTACGACTATACCACCCGAAACTTTGTTGTCGATACTGGTAACGGTACGATCGGGTACAACAAGACAGTCGCTGTGTGCAGTCTCAACTCTACGGCGTCATACGAATACTATACTCACCAACCGCTTTTGCCGAACAGTCTTCTCGGAGAGTCAACTTTTATCTTGGCCTCTCTTGAGGTAGAAAGGAAGTAGTGAATGAAGGCCCTAGTTATTGCAGCACTGCTAGATAATATGATCATTTTCTGCACCTTTTAATCTCTTAAGGAAGTCATTCTGCAGGATCGTCGAGCATGCGTGATTTCCAATCTCTTTAGACTGGATTCGAGTTTTTTCGGAGCCTACTCGTTGGTTTCACGACAGATTAGCCGATATGTTCACATTGTAATCAGATCCCTAGACATGTAGAATTCCGGCGACCTGCAGATTAAGACATGGGATAACAATCCATCTGCTTGGCTTACGGAGACCGTTTTGAGGATAGTGCCTAGCGTACATGCAAGTATCGACTCAAGCTATCCCACGTCAGCATGGGCAAACACACTCTGATTGATAGTAGTGTAGCCTGCTAGTCAGAATTCAACAGCGGTACGCGAAAAGTCAAGTACATGTAGCTACAAAGCTCCTGCAATCGTCTTGCCCACGCTGCAACGCTCATGTACCTATATGTCCGAAATCCGATATGCCTCGTCGAGTCGCTGGTGAGACTGATGACTTGAACCGACGAGGTTGTCTCCAGCCACTCGTATTCTCGAGAGTATGGCAACCTCCGCACCTAACTCGGTGGTCGTAGGAAGGGAATCAAATTCAACACGCCTAACTCCGACGTGTTCAGCAAAAGCCCATGGCTCTTATCTTCAATACTACATTTTCCACGTTGATCTCTTTCATTGCTGGCACCAAGAAGTACAGGCCCCGCGCATAAGTTGCGCAAATTAAGCGATCAAACTAAGGTAAGATCGAGACACTTGATAGGATTCCCGAACCCCCGGGTTTCGGCTCATCCATTGTACCTGCCCTGTACAGATGGATTGAAGTTCATCCGCATCTATGGGAATCAGACGCATACAAATAGTCCAGCCACCTTTCTCGACAATCACATTTATGAAGGCCTCATCAAGCCATTACTGCTACCTTCTGCCGATTAATTTTGCACTTCAAAAGCCTCTCAATGACAATTTCCAGGATAGCCTGCCTGTGGCTTCTCGCGGTCGTTCTAGTCTATGTGAACGCCCTGCGAGTGGAAAAGAGTCAAGAGTTTCCGCTGGGATCTGAGATCGAAAACCTCGCCGTCAGGCCGTCGGGTTCCATTCTGGCAGTCGTTTACACATTCCCACGCGTCTACGAAGTGGCTCCTGTCGCGAATGCCGAGCCAAAGCTTGTGCACACTTTCGAGAATACCAATGGCGTTTCCAGTATTGCCAAATCACCAAACTCGGATGAATACTTCCTCATTACCGGCAACTTCTCTTTCCAGACTTTGAGTCCAACCCCTGGCTCGTACGCGATCCACAAATTGTCATTTGACAAGTGCGACAAGTCGGTCGTCAAGCAACTGGCATCGCTGGATGCTATTTCTCAGCCCAATGGGATGATTGCGGTTCCTGGAACGCCCTACGTTCTGATCGCAGATACGCGCGAGGGATTCATCTACCGTTTCGACACCCAAACCTTTCAATTGGGCGTCTACTACGATGATCCCTTACTAAAGCCTGGTACTACAAGCGGCGTGGTATTCGGCGTCAACGGCATCAAGCTCTCAAGAGGATACCTCTATTTCAGCAACACCAACCAACAGTTGGTCGCCCGTGTGAAAGCTTCAGGGAACGAAGATGTCCTCCATGGAACCCCGGAAATCGTGGCAACCCAGACCCCAATTGACGATTTGATTGTCAATAAATACAATGGCGACATCTATCTCGCCGAACTTAGCGGAAACGCTCTTGGCTTTGTGCCACGTGGGGCAAACACCACCGTCCCGGAGACTCTTCTCGGCGGCATTAACAGCACAGCTATTTTGGCGCCTACATCAGTCGTTTGGGCAAAAGGTGCGGAAGGCCGAACACTCATCGTCTCGGAGACTGGCGGTTTTGAGCAATTTGTGACACACAATTACACAGGTGGTGGCAGGATCAACATAATTCACTTGGAGTAATACCCTCAAGTGCCGTAGCTCAAGATGATTTGAGGAAATCGCAACCTCTTTAAGACTATGATTTGCGAATTGTTGCAAGGACCTGGACAGTCTGGGATTCTTAATGCTTTGGGTTCATGCGACGTGTGCGTCAATACTAATTTCTTTACTTTCTCCAAGTTTTCACAAGTAGC